AATAATGGTGTAATCATGTCGCAACTTCCAGGGCATCCAATTAACAAACTACAACCTCTAGATCTCGCGGTTTTTAAGTCACTAGAGCTTTACTACAACGAGGCAAATGAGAAATGGCTTAGAACTAATCTTCCCGTTTCTTAATTTCAAGTAGCTACTTGGAGAAGCATATTCTCGAGCGGCAATGATACCCACTGCTATCATTAGATTTCGAAAAAGCAGAATATGACCGTCAAGTGAAGTCCATTTTACTCCTGCGGATGACCTAACTGTAAAGAACAGTAGACAAGCAGTTGAAGATTTGTCAAAGTCTGAAAACTACGTCGACAATATCCTGTTAATCGAATTTCTTCAAAACAAGACTTCAAAAGAAAACATGAAATTACAATCAGAACCAACATCATCAACTCCTCTGGATCCTCAAAGGCAGGTACGGATGGGTTAGGTCGCCATTCACCTCAAAAAGCAGTTTCAGAAACAGAAACATCAACGTCAAAATATGGATTATCTTCTAAGGTAGTTTGAAGCTAAATAAATATCTGCCAAAAAAAAGGAAACCGTTAAGCGCAAAATTTAGATTTGGGAAAAAGTTAACGCCAGCGAGTGGTATTACGAGCTTTGTTCTGAAGCAATGTCGTGAATGGGTACACGAATCATGTGCTAATGTGCAATCAAAAGACAAATTTATATTTATATACTTTTGTATGCTTAACTAAATGTTTTTTACATTTTGTATTTTTCTATAATACAATACGTTTTTAAAATGTCTACCCGATCTATTTTTCTTCGTTATTTGCTTATTTTTGAGAGGTTCAAAACTTACCCAGTCAAAGAAAAGCATATAAATTAGAGTAGGTGTGTCATGTGTAGATATATCCATATGCAAATAAAGTTCTATAATATTGTTTTAGACCGTTTAGACCCTAGAATCGAAATAATGAAAACTGGGACAATATAGGCAACATTCCCTTAATGAGTACATGCACCGTGCATTTCACCCACTGACGTATACTTTACGCCATTTTCTTGCTAAACGGCGTTTTCCACACATTTAACTCATTTTACCAGAAAATTTAACGAAATGTAAGTATATTTTAACAAACTCTAGCCGTAAAAATGCCGCATCCAAATTTCTTGACGATCTGTCAGCAGCCATGTTGGTTAAAGATTTGAAGTCTCCCTCATGCTAATTTGTAATGAACCAGCTCAAATTTTTTTTCATAGTTGCATCATAAGGTCCTGTAGGGCATAGGGATGCCTCTATATCTCTATATCTCTAGTAGAGTGAACGTATTTTCAGAATGAGGCCCTACCACGTGACCGATTGGAGACGCCAGCGAACCTGAAGCCACTCCATCGCTTGTATCGCATAATATTTAATGAAGCACTTTCCCTTTTATACCAACATTTTTATTTTGTACAAATTGCCTGGAGATGAATAATCAACTACAAAATATTAAAAAACAACCAACAGAGCACCATAAAATAAACACGGACATATCAGAGCAGGAAATAGAAACACTGCACTGCTGGGAGACGAAGACATCCACTAGTTGGCTAGGCAAAGGCATCGGCCGACTGCAGCCGAACAATAGCAATGGGATTAACTATTCATATATAGGAAAACCTGAAGGAACACCCACCATGAAATATAATCAGAAATCCAAAACTCACCAGGTTATCAGTTTAGAATAAGGAAGTTAGGTGGTGTGTAACTCTTATTTGCATTTTTTGATAAAATTAATTAATGTGGAGATATAAAAGAATTCCGCAGCATTGACCTTCACGAATCTGCATTTTTTTTTATTCTACGACATCAAACGATCAGGAATCGAAGATATGTAGGAAGTCGGAAAAAGGGGCGCCAGCCTAAAACAGGAAGAGGGTTCCAAATGAGATTGGCCGTCAGCATCAGCATCGCGGGACTGTAAGTTATAATACAGACGAGAGGTTGCCCTCTAATTTGTGAGGGTCGCGCCCTCTTCCATGCCACCCTCGATGCTCGTTATAGAAACAACGCTTCGACTACAAAAAAAACTGTCGGAGACTCTGCGTGCGTGCATTGTGCCGCGATGCATTGTCATTGTTATCGGCGAGTTTTCCGTACACGAAAAAGATCCTTTTTTTACACCGTCAATTAGGGAATGAGTAATTTTCAATTCATCAGCGAATAAAGTCAAAAATTTATATTAAGCGCGAAAATAATCATATCTTAATTGAAGAAATAATAAAAAGGTGAAGTTCGAGAAGTATAAAACTAAGTAACATAAATAAAAGAAAACTCCATACATGTAAAAATTATAAATTAGAAACCATTCGTCTGTTCATATATCTTTAAGAGATATAATATGTTAAGGGGATAAAAGGGGATAAAAGTGGTTCACGGGATGAATCTAGACAATGTATTCCATAGACTGATGAACTCGTCATGTAGAATTAATGACCACCGGTCAAAATGAGAAATGTACAGAATGTTTTTCAGAGGCCGATTCCGATGAAAATATAAAGTTACTATAAGCGGATGTCAAAGTTGTATTTATTTATTTTTGCTGCATAATTCGCTAAATTTCTAAATGAAAATTGGTAGATAACTTTTGGTTTTTTGACATCAAAATTTTAATTTGTGTAAATTTAAATTTTGACGTACGATATTATTGAGTTTTTTTTAATGGTAAATTTGCGAAAGGAAATTGATATACAGCTTCGACGTTTGTGTCAAACCCGTTATTCGAATTGCCCAGTTCAAAAAGTTTTTTAAGAAGAATTGAAAATGACCCTTTCTGGCAGAAAACAAAACCTCAACGTAAGGGGTCGTTATACAGCAAATCGAAATCAAGATTTTTCTTTAAAAATTAATTAATAATAATTAATAATTTAATATAACACAAAAAACATTTACTCTTTTTTTAATTGATTCCGGTAAGACATACACTTATTTTTAAAATTAAAAAAAAACACAACACAACAGCTTTTAATTTTGAAAATCCTTTTTTTTTTCTACTCCCGTTTGTAAAATGCCGAATTACACACCGATCTAGCGTGCGGGAAGCGTCACTTTACGACGTCAGTTTCCGGGATTTTAGCCCACGAATGTTTTCGGACATTTTACCGAACGACTTAAATTTTGACGTATGTCAATTCTGACGGTCATGCAAGTGAATATATTTTGCAAAAATGTACCCAAAAAATAAATACACAAAATTATGTTATGGAATATATCAGACAATTTAAATACTACGTGCTATAGACTACTATAATTTAAGTTTACCACAGAAATTTTACATACCGTTCGCATGAACTTTAGTGGTTTTTTTATATTATCTTGACACGACCAATTGTACGATTTTCAAGTATCCATATCGCATCAGTAAAAACAAAACAAAATTGAAGGTTAGGACCTGCTTTTTCCTCATAAAAGCTCTATCCTCGGATGATTTTTTTCCAATTGCAGTCTTTTTTTTAAATATATTACTTAATGATCAATTGTAAAAGTTAAATAAACAACATAACTTTTTAAAATTGTGTTCATTCCGTTGTTTATGACATATCCAATAATAATCTCTCTCTGTCTAACATACACAGTTAAAAGGAGACAACAATAGCCGAATCCATCGGTACCATCAACGAATAGGTGCAATGGCAACTAGTACATTTTTTGTTTGAATGGTACGAAATTTAGTAATCCGATAATCTGCTATTATTTTTAGTTTGTTAAGTTGTGATTTTTTCGTGACGGTCGTAGAAAAAGGGTAGTATGCAACACGTTCGATAAACCCTTCATCTCACTCGTTTATTAAGCACTCGCTCCGCTCGTGCCAAATAAAGTGAATCAAATGCCGTTTACCGCACTATATACTATAACGGTTCTCGCTGAAACTCTTTTCGAACGTTTAGATACAACAGTGTTGACTGTAATCCCACAAAATTACCTTTTTTTTACAGTTAAAGTGGAATTTTTTTTTATATATTTAACAATTTTTCGTTTTAATTTATGAGAAATTGGTTGAAATATTCTCAGCCTGCATATCAAATGCAGTATAGCACTGGACTTTCTTCCGTCTTAGCTTTACTGTTATAAAATCACATCATAAAAGTAACAAAAACTTACAATTGAACTATATATTTGTAAAATGAATTTTCTGATTCTTGGATAAACAATATTTATGGCGCTTGTTTGAAGGTGGTTACTACACATCTGAAAAAGGGTAATGATACATATAGTGAAGAAAAAGCTGTGTAATTTAAAATTAAAATATGCCATCTGTAATTATTTTTTACATACTATTATCCGAATGCAATAATGTGGTTTCTATCTTAGTTCTCAATAACCTTCTTTACCTCCACGCGAATGTAAATACCGAAATTTAACGTCATTCCCACACGAGGACTAAAGCCTATCGCAGATCGGAACAGGTGCTTTCTTCGATGTAAAACATGCATATCGCATTAGTTGATCGGATTAAATACGCAAGGCACTTTATCTCGAACAAAAATAGTCTGTAATATATCCTCGGGCCTTTCGGAGATCTGCGTGGGAGACAGCAGGGTGGATAAACAGATTTACGAAAATTAAAGCGACCCCTTGGGGAAGAAACGGGTGCGTAATTCTGTCGGTTCAACGCGCGTGAAACATACGTTGCCAGGTAATACTGTGACGTAAACGATAAGAATTAAACTTGGCGAATTGATTAAAAGTTTGTCGCTGAGGCAAACATTTCAATAATTATTTATTCAGCATTTCCAGCATATACAAATGTTTTGCCAAACTTCCATATTTTTTATAAATTTACAAATCAATCAGTATGTATGATAACTTTTCATTGAATACTAAGAATGTAGGATAAACAGCAGTAACTTTTGCAGTTATAAGTATGAACAAAATAACAAAGCGGAAACTTAACCTTTAATAGTAAAAATACTTACCTACTGCTCTTAAGAACGTTTTCCACAAAGTTCATAAAAAATAACACAAAATAAAATACACATATTAAGGATACATACTTATTTTATTTAGTCAATTATTGGTCTGTAATATTTTTCATTTGATTTTAGTCTTGGTTAGTTTTCGTGTAAATTCCGGAAACATTGACAATAACTTGACGGATGTTGGATTTTGGTTTACTTTTGATAAAGCCCGAAAAAAAATCCAGAGGCGTTAAGTCTCAAAATCTCGTCGCTCGCTTGTATAAATAGCTAAAATGTGAGATATTGCGACCTGAGAACTTGTCGATGTGGTAAACGCTGTGTAGCAAGTCAATATCTTCGAATTTGTGCCAGAAATAAAGAGTTATCAAGCGTCTATCTCTCAAACCTCATGAGGATTTTCATCCCGCCATAGGTATGCGACTAATTTCCTTATTAACATAGTTTAAGAGGCTGAAATGTACCTCATCAGAAAAGAAATTTCTCATTAAAAAATCAACGCCAACCTCCTGCATGTAGCTCTATTACACAAGCTACGCAAAATCTTTGAGGTCCATCGTCTTAAGGTTTTAGTCTTTATGTGACGTGAATTTTATATGAGGGTAGATTCAATATCTGATGCAAAAGGTGCCAAAGAAAGGTCCAAAATCTGCAAACGCTTTTGAATCGACAGGTGCGAGTTTAGAGTAGCAATATTTTGGCACGAACGTACACCATACTTAAGCACACTTCCTACTCTATCTCCAATACTTCTAGTCTCTTTTCTTTTTTGACGACATTGCGAATTGTTCGCTCAGTTGGTTCGCTGGTTCCTGTAAGAAATTATCATTAACAGATCTTCGAAGAGGCAGAAACTAAAACACATTACTTTATACACTTATTTTGGAAAGCTGTTTCTAAAATATTACAATATTTCAGGTGTAGCTTGTTCTATATTAAGAGGACAAACCGAGGAGTAAACAGCGAACGCAATACTTCTATACTTAGAAAACTTTACAATTCCACAATTCATCGGAATTTTTTAAAATTCTTTGGAATTCCTCTGCAATTAGTTGAAATCCTTAATACTCTACACCATAATTCCTCTCCGGTTTAATACTCGGGAAAAGTTGTCCATCCTCAAAAGTTAGCAGATAATATCACAGCAATATGGGATATGTTTTAATAACGAAAATTAGTAGCGGTTTTTAAAACAAACTCCAAACGCCCACGACAAAAATCGTTAAAATGTTCATGGTTGAAGAAACGACTGCAGTCTTCTCTACTTTAGAGTATTTCCATATACTTATAGATCCATTATTCTTGCAAATTGATTACGCTTTTGTTGAACACACTGCTTTACGAAAGCCTTCTTCTGTGGTACCTACCCAAGTTTCGATACGCTCCGTAAAATAATTCGTATACCGTTTCTGGAGAAAGGAATATCACCAGCAATATGGCTACGGTTTTAACGAAAAGAAACGCTAATTTAGCCGGCAAAGCAACCACAATTAAGAGAACCTTCAGCGGTAGCAACAAAATGTAAAAGAATAAAATTAAAATATATACCGCGAGCGCCAAAATCTGTATAACGAAAAGCGCGACAAAGAGTAACAAGGCAAAAGTTCTCGTGAACAACAAACCAAGCTGCGTTTGGACGATTTGTGGAACTGCACCTGCAAATGTCGAATTAACTTAGGAAGAGAATATTAACGTTATAAGTGTTACCGGCTATCATCGAAAAGTTCGGTCAAAACCATTTAAAAATATTTTATTCTTTTTTACATATCGAGCTGTCACCTACATTGTCAATTTTGATTTTTCTACATTGAGACAGTTTTACCCAGTAAAACAACTTAAAAAATATAGTTCTTTCGCAAATAAATGGTTGTGGCTTATTGAATGAAATTGAATGAAACTGTTGTTGCCACTATGTAGAGAAGAGTTGGGCAAAAAACATGTGTATAATTAATTTTGCTCTATGATATATATAAATATATATATATATATATATATATATATATATATATATATATATATATATATATATATATATATATATATATATATATATATATATATATATATATATATATATATATATATATATATATATATATATATATATATATATATATATATATATATATATATATATATATATATATATATATATATATATATATATATATATATATATATATATATATATTATTATTATTATTATTGATGTTCTAAGGAATAAATGGTCCAAGACAATTCTTGAACTATCAATCGAAAAGTTCTGCCGATATAGCTTTATGGTATTCGACGATGTTTTTACAGCTCAGCCACTAAGCATTTGGGACCCGAAGACTAAATTTTGAAATAAAATCTCCCAATATAAGGACGCAATTCTGCCTACCTATTTATTATCTTTTCAAATCATCATTTTACCCCAGATCATGCTGGTAATTTAGGTAGCACCACTTTTTTTTATCCCCCTATATTTATTTTTGAAAACACTATAGCTAGCTAACCAAAATGCCACCAAGCGAATTAAGAAAAAATCATTTTACAAAATTTAAAGAAAAAGTCAAATGGGTGTTTTTATAAGCTAATTTATTTTTCGAAAAAAAAAGGGTGTATAATAATAGTAATAATATTAATAAAATACCTTTACTTCACTTAAACAAAGTATTTTTCAAGTGAATATGCTCCTAGTCTCATTAGCATTTCTTGACAGCCTTCTTAAAATTTCTACATGGTGATATAAATAACTTAATCCACTTACAGGCCCTTTCTCAGTTATCGAAACTTTGTGATTAAGTGGCATGATATTCTGGTTTTAATTGTTATGATTATCTATTATATTTCCGACGAACTCATTTTTATTTTTGAATATAAATAATAGACCTTTGTAAATATAGATTATATACAGTCATAACTAGCTATTCCTTAAAGCTTCCTCTATAAGAAGACCAACAACTCCTTTTAAGTCACCAAGGAGTGACTTGACAATGACTGTAATTTATTCCAGCCTAACTAGGTTTGAATCTTCAAAAATTATTAATCAGTGTAGCAAAATGTAGCACTTTTAATTTGATTATTTTAATCAAGAACGATGCATCTGACGTATGAGGTGATTTTCATGCAGCAATGATTAGTTTTTCAAAAAAATATTCATTAGAAAAAATGGCAGCGCCATAACAAGTTTTTCTTTAAAAATATGTGATACAAATCCATCCAGGATGAACGCCAAAGGTAGAAATAATAAAAAAAGTGATGTACGTGTAAAAATGGTTCTTAGTGAACAGAATGCATTTACGAAATTTAACAAAGGTATATCAAATCGTTATATAGATGATATAGAAAATAGGGTTTTTCATTAAAACGTCGCCATCCTGTATCTCCAAAAATTAAGACGTTTAAGACATACGTTGGAATGAAGTTTTTTTTTCGTAAAATGAACTCAATAATCACCTTCATCTTAACACATTAAGAAACACTCTTTATAGGAATTTTTGTTTTTAAAAATTATGTAATTAAGTTAGTAGTCAGTAATAAAGTAAAGTAGTTTATAAAAAAAGAGATAGGGAAGTGATAGGAGTGTTAAAAATTATATTGAACATTTTTTTTTAATTCAATTTGTTAAACTTAAGAAACAATTACTAAAAAAACACTTTTCAAATCTGTGTTGCGCGTTTTTGACCGGTGTCCTCGGCTAAAAGAAACTTAAAAGTCCGTAAAAGTCGACATCCGGTCTCCTTTCATTCATCACAACCGATCCATCAGCGAAGATTCGTAATCTATCTAAATTTCTCGCTTGTTTTTTTTTTATTCACGGAGCCGAAGCAATTTAAAATCAATAACGATCCTTTTCGGAAATTGAAAACCATACGGAACGGCAACTCTGGCAGGTTAAGTTTCGTAATTACACCTTCCAAGTCACTATTTACAGCCCCAATAATCGTGCGCAGCTGAGCGTGAAACAATCGACAGTTCTGTGCGTATCAAGTCACCCGTGATCGGCGACGCGACGCGTAACGTAATCCTTTTTGGACAGGAGGACCACACCTGATCCTGATCCAATACTTTAAATGTACATACAGGACGCTAGAGATGAGTCACAGCTATAGATGTAAGTATAGTGCGTATGAAAGTGTAATATACAGAGTGTAAGGATGACCCTGACCTGTATCTCAGATATTTTTGGTCATAAATTTTAGGAAAGAACATTTGCATGAGTTTACTGGAAGAGAGAAAAAAGTCACAACTAATTCAATTCATTCATTTCATTTTGTTATTGACTATCCAAATTGGAATGTGAAGGTTTTTTTTTTAATAAAAAAGAAGTATAGCGATCTTGTCTGTGGCGCATTTCTCAACTGAATTTCCGAAGCTCGTATTTAAGAAAAAAAAATTAGAGCTGTCCCTAGTCTACCAACAGAAGAACAGTACAAGAATCATTTAAAAATTGAGAAGTAAGTTGATGTCGAAGATTTGTAATTAAGTATCCAGTTTATATATATGGTTACGGAAGTTCGATAATTGTTTCATTTAAGTAAATTTCACGACACGTAAAAATTTTATGCCATCTTGAAACTATCGAAATTTTACAAACTTTCACAAGCTTCGAAGAATGGACTGTACAGTCGCAATTTTAAATAATAGTTTTAGTGGTAATAGTTTTTCTAATAATTTAATTAAATTCATTTAATTAAATTAAATATTTTAGTTTCTGAAGAAGACAACAAGAAGATTGGCGAAACCGACGCACGTCCTCTATAGAAAGATATATTCAAATTCGTACACCTAAGTGCGATGTTTTTTAAAAACAATAATAACTAATAACTTAGCTCTGACATACACTAAGTTTAAAGCAATGTCTTTAATGGTGAATTTTAATATTATAAAATTAAACTTCGAGGTGTAAAAACCTTTAGGTATTTATATGGTGCCATAATTATCAGCTGTTGGAAGTAAACAACTTATTCAGCAATGTAAAGAAGGGCAATTAAGAGATCCAAAGGTTTAACGTCAAAAGAAAATAACTGGTCGGAATTGTTGAAAACGTCGAGACTGAAATAGAAGTCTAACCGTACTGCACAGACAAGAAAACGGAAAGTAGCTAATTGCGGAACTGTTAAAGATGCTAAAACAGTACAAAGTGCGAATTACATGTTTTAACAAACTTTTTTATACTTTTACGTATATTAGCAAAGTAAATTTTTAACGAAGAAAAAAACTTTTCAAAAATTTTTTTGAGTGAAGACCAGTGAAACATGTATCAGCAAAATTGTGAGCAGGGACTTTTTACAAGTACTAACTTCATCTCTAATAAAAATGGGGTTTATTTAAATTAAAAATATGTGTTACTGGTTTCACAATGACACTTGAAATATTTTGTAAAAATAATATAATGATTCTTAAGCCTTGGCCACAACAAAGAAACACAAGGGACACTTTGTTGTTGGTTATTGCAACGCGTTTATGGAAACAGATACAATAGTAAACGTTCTATTCATACCAACGCAACTCATTCTGGTGCGGTGTGTGTTCCTAGTTTCTAAACAATATGGTGCGACGAAGATTTACAGGCAGCAGCAGCTGTAATTGTAATTATTTTACAAAATTACAAAAACCGAAAAACCAGTCCGTAAATGTTGAAATAGACCAAGTCTTTTAGAGACAAAGTCACATGGAGTCACGTTTATTAAAGAAATATATACATAGATGGACAATTCTTTCATTTCAAAAATTGTCATCAATAAATGAAATGACGTCAAAGAGCCGCAGTAGGTCAGCTACTACTAGAGGTACTTATTGCTAGAACAATCGTAATACTAAATTATGTTATTAATGTTACATAAACATTTACATGTTTAGATAATTGTCTAAGCTATATGGCTCAAGTTCAATTAATTTCCCTTTTAAACGCATTCCTATTATTAATTCGTCTAACACTGAGAGAGAGTATATTAAACAGTTTTACATGCACATACTCACGACTCATGTGAGTGATTTGGCAGCGATGCATAATAATGTAACATTCCGAAATCGTAATATAATTTTCTGTATTTAGTCGTCGAATAAATGCTTATTTCTGTAAATGAACGTAAGGCATTCAAATTTGTATAGAGCGTGTATGATTCATTATATATATATATATATATATATATATATATATATATATATATATATATATATATATATATATATATATATATATATATATATATATATATATATATATATATATATATATATATATATATATATATAATCTTGAATTTAATTTAATTATTAATTGAGTTGTATGAAAAGATCAATCCAGATGTCCAGCAAAAAATTTGTGTATTTTCTGACATGCATAGGTTTTTATTGTCTACGCTGAGGTTGTCTATTGTTTTTATATTACACTGTTTGGTTCTAAAGAATCCGGCATTTGTTTTGTCTGTGTTAAAAATTAATTTGTTATTCAAGAACAATATAATA